GATCCCCGAAGTTAAGCAGCGTCGAGCCCGGTTAGTACTTGGGAGGGAGACCACCTGGGAATACCGGGTGTCGTAGACTTTTTTGCTTGCTTATTTTTTACTTTTTTTGTTTTTACATGTTAATATTACACAATCCTTAAGCTCATAGTTAATTTTATATAGCATTTAGTTAATTATTCATTAAATAAATTTCCAAAATTACATTATTTATAAAACTAAAGTTGTGTGATAATACATATGAAAAGGTTCCGCACTTTCAATGAAATAGTGGATACCTTTCGGGACTATTTATAACACAACTCCAACGCAAATGCAATGCACTGAACACGTGACTCATGAACACATGTTTGCCATACATTTCATAACAACTGAAATGCAATTGAATTGAATCCACAATCAAATCAACGATTAGGTCCCAAAAAGCCATGAATTGTCTCAAACTTCTACATCAACTTAAGAGTACTAAACCATTGGCCGCCATATACTGTCACCCATTGGTCGCCCAATCGTCCACTCGATGGCAATCGACACAAACTCGCCGTAAAGAGCCGGACATCGCCGACACGGGAAGTGGTGACCGATTATCGTCACTCGACCTAAGCTCCAGAGACGTGGACAGGGATTATCGCATATACCGGGCGCCCGAAAACATGGTTAAACTGATCAAAACGATCAAAATGTTCTCGATATCGACGACAGTGTTAGCAATGGGTTGTCAGCCGTTCATCATTCAGCAGATAATGTCCACCAATCCGTCGACGATAGCCATCGGGTTCGTGGCGGTCACCTTCGGGGGTACGGCACTGTCGCCGCTGCTACTCAACTGGTTTACCCGTCGATACGCCACTCAATTGTATTACAATCGCCACAAGAAGTTGTTCACCGCGTGGTCGCTGAACCTGTTGTGTCGACCGCGAAGTTTCCAGTACTCGGCCGCCGAGGTGTCGGTGCCCGAGGCGTTGGGTATGTTCACCACATATACGGTGATGAGTGGCGGCCGCAAAAGACCCCTTTTCGTGGACCCGGCGTTTGTCACTGATCTGGAAGCGTATAAAGTGATGTTAGGCTACGATAAGCCATTAGATCTGAAGTTAGATAACATTTTAGATAAGAGTGCTGTCAATGAACACAAGTCTATCAATGAAAAGTGAATTCATTTTTGTAGTTATGATAAGAGTTTTGTAATTAATTTTACTGAAAATCATATTGTGTTTGTATAATACAGTCAACTCTCGATAATTAAATATATCGCTCATATAGTCACTATATTATAGTGTACTACACTTATGTATATCGTGTTCACTATTATGCAATTTGTTTTGCTATAATTACTGTATAATTAGTTGAAATTATAGTTTAATTGTAAGTTATATTTGGTTTCAAAGTGTCTGTTCATTACATTTGAGAGTAGTTTTAAATGAATAATATTTGGAAAATTAATCTGAAATTAAAATGACATGTATTTTAAGTTATATTTTTGTTTATTTGTATAAATTTTGAAATTATTTATTTAATAAATTGTCATTAATTTAGATTTTAAATGTGTTTAAATAAATGATTGAATTTTTTTCAGTAAAGTTTACTGAGTTTGCAAACGTGATTAATGTGCGGATCATTACATAAAACGGTTGATTATGCATAACAAAGTTGTATTAACCATGAATACTAACTAAAATATAATGTTACATTCAGATAGGGGTTAGGTATCTATAGGGGGTTATACTATGTAAATCAATGGTAGGGTCTCAACCCCTCAGTAAAATAATAACGTTTTTGTGTACGACATGCGATGGCTGACCCCACGTATGGTTCAAATAAATAGTGATTTTCAAAACAAAACACAAATAAACAGAAGTTTTGTTTGAATTGCAATTAAAATGAAAAGTTAATTAAAATTGAATGCATTATAAATGGTATGAAAATGTGTGCAAAACTATCGGCTTTTTGTTTAAATGAAGTGTTTTTAGTGTCAAAAAGCATAATAAAAGTTATTTTCGCCTAAAAGTGCAAAACAATAACATATTTTGAAAGCGTTTTCACAAAACAATTTGCAATCAAATTATAAGTGAATTTTAAACACACTTTAATCGCAAGTTTATTAAAGTTTTTGTGTTTGAATTGAAACTTATTATAGAAAAGTTTTGTAATAGTTTTTTGCTATTTTTGTAATCTATTTATTAAATTAAATAAATCCACAAAAGACTGCAAATTGTAAACACATTGCGAAACCACTCATTGATTGCGAAATACTCGCTGAATGTAAGCTTAAATCCATTGAAATTATTAATTTATTAAATCCTTACTAATCATTGAAAACTTTTTAACACACAATTCACAGGCAATTACAACATATACTTATTCAAGACATTAATAACTTAACTGAAAATTTCCGGTATTTTTCCATTTATTATAAAATGTTTGATGATTAATGAAACAGTTTTTTTATTACAAATTGTAATTTACAATATATTTCCCATATTTTTAGTACACTATTCAATCGATTACTCAATTACTGGTTATATATATGAGTGGACAGGGAGTCAACCATACATTCCCCCTACTCCTATGCTATTAATGCTATTATACTCATCAGTACAATATTAATACCAATGAAACGACAATTTTGTAATCAAGGTCCAAATGTAAGCCATATTTTGTGAATATCTGTGGAGTTACTAAAGGGTTCATTCATTTCTCTATGTATTTGTCCTTCATTTCCAGTATCCACTCAACTATACCTTTAGATAACCTGTGGTTTCACAGAATAGTCGCCAATCATTTGCTATCAATCAGTCATTGCGTTCACAAGTCGTCTATAAAACTCATTGTAAGCTAAAGCCATGCATTCATTAAGTGATGAGAGTGTTAGGGATTACGTGAGAAAACCCGACCCGACCTCCAAACTCAATCACTTGCTATTCATTGGCGACCACTTATCAGTACCGGTGCCCAACCACTCGCTACCCCCGAACATACGTCCGGTGGGTATATTCTGGGACATCGAGAACTGTCAGGTACCTTTCAACCGCTCAGTCATACAACTGGTGGAAAGGGTGAGACAGTTAGCCTTTGAGCGGCAGTATTGTGAGAACGTGTTTGAGGTGGTGTGCGATACACGCAAAATAGCCGCCCCTTTGTTGGACGACCTGAACACCACTCAAGTGACTGTCATACACGTGTGTGGGTTCACCAAAAATGCATCCGATCTGATCCTAATGCAAAGGATTGACAAATTCATTGCTGATAAAGGATACAATTCTGCCATTGTTATGATTAGTGGTAATTTGTCTTTTAATTAATGTCTTATAATAGGTATCAATTGATTGTAGTAAGTGATAATGACTTACAGTTTATGGTCCAATTGGTGATTGTGTGACACGTTTTTGTGGCTTCACTAACACGTGTTTTGCATAATTTACTGATCATTTGTTTGTGAATCAATTAGTTTTAATAATTTCTTAATTAGTTTTACAGTAATAAATGATTACTAATCATTGATTGTCTGATTGCTTATCAATCAATTGCATACTTTAATGAATGAGTTATTGATTGCATTCGCTTTGAATGATTATTTAAATAATGAATGATTGAATGATAATTGATTGTAACTCTATGTTTAGATGATATCAACTTCAGTCCCATATTAAGTAAACACCGAAACAATAATCGCGTTGAAGTGACACTAATCCAAAGACGCGCCGCTCAGGCATTAAGAAATTGTGCCGATTTTATACACGATTTCGATAATTTGTGTCAAAACCTGAACATTAGACACAGCAACCAACAAAAAGGTTAATTAATTTCATTACTAAATGCATGCCTTATTTGGTTTATTGATAGAGATTTTTTTAATTCAATAGTTTAGGGAATTGGGACTAAATTTGGATTAAAATGATCTAAATTTCGGCTCAAATTACTAGTTATTGAAGAGTTATTGAATAGAAATTTCTGATAGTATTAGTGAGAAGTTGAATTGTAAACTACTTTTACAAGTTTAACAATCAGTTTAGTCACGCCTTATGTGTTCATTGAGAATAGAATCACTTATTTTCGTAAATACATTGTATTTAACACTATATTAACCGTATATTTGGCTCCCAATCCCCGCACACAATGGTATTGCGCTCAGAGTCCAAACTATTGGTAACCAATTTACCAACCGATCGGCGCCCTCTGGACATTAAGAGGTTATTGCACCGCATGTCCAACAACTGCGGCGGCAAACGGATCTCAGTGCAGGCGGACACCGGCGACGCCACTATCCGTTTCGTCTGTGCGGACGACGCCCGACGCTGTCAGCAGAGACTCCAGGGGTCGGACGTATTCGGCCGTAAAATCGACGCCATTTTACTCGTCTGTGATACTGAAAGCAGTGATACATCCGATTCGCATCAAGAAGCGGATCCCATTCCTCCTCAGTCATCATCGCTTGTCGTCAAAACACATCGCATCGAAACGCATACCGACTCTCGACGACCAGTTATGTCGCCGCCATTTAGACGATACAGACCGAGGGTTGTCTCTCATTCAACGCCACCCCCACCGCCAGTTCCCTCACTTCAGCTCAACGAACTGATGGCTTTCTGTGTGGTTCACAGTCGCAAACGGGTGGCCAATGGCCTGACGTCGTATAACTCGCACAAACAGACGCTGCCTAACGTCCACATTCAGATCCCGGTGCTGGCCAGTCGTATACATCATTTGTTGGACACGCACGCCGGCGCTCTACCGCTTAACTCATTTGTTGACTGCTATTCCGCCGAATTTAACGAAGTCTTTGACACGAGTACTGAGCCGTTGGTGGCGTTGGAGCACCTGATCTCATGTGTGCCGGGCGTCTGTGTGTCGATCGCGCCGTCCACTTGCCTGAAACGGGTCACATGGATACCGAACCGATCGACCGAATCACGCGTTGGCTCAGACGTGGCGACCGATAGGGCGGCGCACGTATGCTCACAGCTGATCCACTTCGGCAAAGAGATCCGCGAGCTGTTGAAGAGCCAATCGCACGCCACCATCGCGTTCAACAAGTTTGTGCCGGCTTATCACACCCACTACGTGAAGCAGCTGTGTGTCGGCAACTACGGGTGCCTCAAGTTGGCCGACCTGTTGGAGGAGGTGCCGCACATCGTGCAGGTGTACGGCGAGAACGACGGCCGTATGATAACGTTGACGCACAGGGAGCAGACCAAACGGTTTGCCGCCGATCTCATCAAAGTCTTAAAGTATCAAAATGGGGGTCGGATTCGGTTGAGTGAGTTCCCCGCCGCCTATGCCGTGGCGTTCGGCCACCCCTTCGATGTGAGCGCGTATGGCGTCTGTTGTCTCGAGGATATCCTCCACGACGTCTGGGAGGGGACTGTCATTATCACGTCGTTCGGCACCACTGACCAGTGGCTGGAGATTCCGCGACGCGAGCGCACTGGTGAGCAGATGCGACGGACAGTGATGTTTGGCGCCGAAGTGGTGGAGCTGTTGAAGTGCTCGCGCGAAGTGATGGACTTTAAGGTGTCGTTCTCGCAGTTCATTCCCTGCTATCACCGCTACTTCAACCGTCAGTGTCGTGTCAACGACTTTGGGTTCACGAAACTCATCGAACTTCTGGAGGAACTGTCGCCTCAAGTGATCGAAATACAGGCCAACGACACGTACGGCGAGAAGCAGTTGCGCCTGTCGTATGACAATCGACTCAAAGCATTGGTGTATCGATTTGAGGCTGTGCTGAAGCAACTGACCGGCCATTCGGCTACTATTAGCGACTTTGAACGCCATTACCGACGAAAGTATAACACGAATATCGATTACACGGAGTATTACTCATACGATTTGATTGAATTGGTGGGCAATATGCCGGCCAACAAGTTCCGGATCATTACCACCAGAAGCGATACTAAGATATCGCTGATCGACAGCACATTCTTCAGATATGTGGCTAAACGGGTGGTCCGGATGCTGATGGAGGAGTCGACGGGAGAGATGCCGTGCGAACAACTGGACGCTCGATATATCAGCGAATTCGGTGACTGTCTGTCGCAGCATATATTCAGCGGCGGAGCCTATGAGGACCTGCTGTTTGTGGACAACAGCACCCGCACAGTAAGGCTGACCGATATGTCTCTATTCGCTCGCAATTGCATCGAATCGATGCAAACGTCGCATAAGAAGAAGTGGACTCTGGATGAGTTGGACCGAGAGCTGTACCGCCGCTTCAACCGACCCCTCCCTCAGCCAACGTTCTTCAAGTGTCGCTCATTCCCAGAGCTGTTCGCGAAGTTCTTCGAGTACTTCCACGTGGAGAAGCGAAAGACGGGAAAGCCGTTGCTGTTGGTCGCACTGGACGTGAGTTTCGCTCGAAGACCACTAGTCGTCAAACCGCCGATCTATCAAATACTGAAACGCCCGGCTCTACCAGCGCCGCCGCCGCGAGCCGTGCCTGCAATCAAAGCCTCTTTCGTTGATGTGATGAATAGCGAGATATCAGAAGCGCTTCCACTGCCAGACCTGTTGCCCGATGTCGACGAGAGTTGTTGTAATGATTTGATTGAGTTGTCCTCGAAGTCTAGTGCCGTCTCTTCTGATGTGGAGGTTTGCGATGAAGCGCTGGAGTTGGCCTCCAATCATATGTCAGGTGCGGACAGTTGTTTCAGCGATGGTAATGATAATTGGGATAACAGTGAGAGTGAAACGGCTCTCTCGTTGTGTTCGACTGCCGACACTCAGAGCCGACTGAATACCTTTTCCAATGGCATTAGGCGGCGCCGAAAGGGACACAACGTTCTCTTGGAATCGTTGGAACCGTTGAGAAACATGTAGTCATTGGCTTTGGACACAAAAATAGATTTAATAGTTATTTACTTTGATAT